CAATTTGCAAGAGCTCACCAAAATTGAACAGTTGAAGACTGGAAAAATGTTGCCTGGTCTGATGAGTCTCGATTTCTGTTGAGACATTCAGATGTTAGAGTCAGAATTTGGCGTAAACAGAATGAGAACATGGAACCATCATGCCTTGTTACCACTGTGCAGGCTGGTGGTGGTGGTGTAATGGTGTGGGGGATGTTTTCCTGGCACACTTTAGGCCCCTTAGTGCCAATTGGGCATCGTTTAAATGCCACGGCCTACCTGAGCATTGTTTCTGACCATGTCCATCCCTTTATGGCCACCATGTACCCATCCTCTGATGGCTACTTCCACCATGTCACAAAGCTCTAATCATTTCAAATTGGTTTCTTGAACATGACAATGAGTTCACTGTACTAAAATGGCCTCCACAGTCACCAGATCTCAACCCAATAGAGCATCTTTGGGATGTGGTGGAACGGGAGATTCGCATCATGGATGTGCAGCCGACAAATCTGCGGCAACTGTGTGATGCCATCATGTCAATATGGACCAAACTCCCTGAGGAATGCTTCTAGCACCTTGTTGAATCTATGCCACGAAGAATTGAGGCAGTTCTGAAGGCAAAAGGGGGTCCAACCCGTTACTAGCATGGGGTACCTAATAAAGTGGCCGGTGAGTGTAGATATATATATAGCATCTGCCAAATGCATAAATGTCAAAAATATTTGGTGCAATACAAAGGATAAAAACATCATTTTGTGCTCTGCAAAATGAAGTCATAGACGTTTAGAAAGTAAAGTAAATGATGACAGTATTTCTATTTTGGAGGGAGGGAACCAATTTTTTTTTTTAAACATACTGAATAGATCTCTGTATCTCAGCAGACACAGTGATGAGGTATAGCAAATATCAGATTAATGTCAGACTAATGCTCCCCGTTGTATTGATGTTGTGTGTTTACTGAAACACCACCAACAGAGTTCGTATTGTAAATGTAGAAGAGTAAAAATCAAAAAAACTAATTGGCATTTACATCATGACTCACATGTCACATCCAAATTATAGCTTCATCATATAATGTTTTTATAATGGAAATGTTATCATCATCTGTGTATAGATTATGCTCCATAAATCACTAACACATCATTACATTCTACTTCTTGTGTGATGCATGTGCTTCTCATATCGCAGTGACTCACAGCACACCTCTCTAAGAAGCTTACTCCTTGTAGTTTATGACTAGACACTCTGTAGAGATCAGTAAGCTCGGAGATCACCAGGGAATGTGTCAGCACTGCTAAATCATTTTTGCTTGGTCTCACCTTGATATATACACTCACCGGCCACTTTATTAGGTACACCTGTCCAACTGCTCGTTAACACTTAATTTCTAAGCAGCCAATCACATGGCGGCAACTCAGTGCATTTAGGCATGTAGACATGGTCAAGACAATCTCCTGCAGTTCAAACCGAGCATCAGTATGGGGAAGAAAGTTGATTTGAGTGACTTTGAACGTGGCATGATTGTTGGTGCCAGAAGGGCTGGTCTGAGTATTTCAGAAACTGCTAATCTACTGGGATTTTCACGCACAACCATCTCTAGGGTTTACAGAGAATGGTCCGAAAAAGAAAAAACATCCAGTGAGCGGCAGTTCTGTGGGCGGAAATGCCTTGTTGATGCCAGAGGTCAGAGGAGAATGGCCAGACTGGTTCGAGCTGATAGAAGGGCAACAGTGACTGAAATAACCACTCGTTACAACCGAGGTATGCAGCAAAGCATTTGTGAAGCCACATCACGCACAACCTTGAGGCGGATGGGCTACAACAGCAGAAGACTCCACCGGGTACCACTCATCTCCACTACAAATAGGAAAAAGAGGCTACAATTTGCAAGAGCTCACCAAAATTGAACAGTTGAAGACTGGAAAAATGTTGCCTGGTCTGATGAGTCTCGATTTCTGTTGAGACATTCAGATGTTAGAGTCAGAATTTGGCGTAAACAGAATGAGAACATGGAACCATCATGCCTTGTTACCACTGTGCAGGCTGGTGGTGGTGGTGTAATGGTGTGGGGGATGTTTTCCTGGCACACTTTAGGCCCCTTAGTGCCAATTGGGCATCGTTTAAATGCCACGGCCTACCTGAGCATTGTTTCTGACCATGTCCATCCCTTTATGGCCACCATGTACCCATCCTCTGATGGCTACTTCCACCATGTCACAAAGCTCTAATCATTTCAAATTGGTTTCTTGAACATGACAATGAGTTCACTGTACTAAAATGGCCTCCACAGTCACCAGATCTCAACCCAATAGAGCATCTTTGGGATGTGGTGGAATGGGAGATTCGCATCATGGATGTGCAGCCGACAAATCTGCGGCAACTGTGTGATGCCATCATGTCAATATGGACCAAACTCCCTGAGGAATGCTTCCAGCACCTTGTTGAATCTATGCCACGAAGAATTGAGGCAGTTCTGAAGGCAAAAGGGGGTCCAACCCGTTACTAGCATGGGGTACCTAATAAAGTGGCCGGTGAGTGTATATATATATATATATATATATGTGTGTGTGTCATTATTTTTTCCCTCTCTCCTTCTCCCCCGATCTCTCTCCTTTGTTTTTCTCTGCATTTAGGATGTGCTGGTATACATATTTCTGTAGGTGGTAGCACAGGCAAGTGACTGCCTGCTAAGCATTTCTGCTTGCCGCACCTCCGACGGTGCCATTGCGGGTAGCTGCAGGGTCATCAGCCGGGAGCCACCCTTCATTGATGTTTCGCTCCATTATTCCCGGAACATCTCACGGTGGTGGAGCAACAGCAGGGACGTCTCCCTGCCGCCCCCTGCAGCTGACCCTAGGACCCTTGTTTTCCCCACACCTGGTTCTTCCTTCTTAACCAAAGCCAAAAGCTTCCCTGCTCGGCCTCCTCGGCCAGGTCTTTCAAGGCCTTTCTGAGTTTGGGGCCGGTGACTCCCATGCTCTTCAGGAAGTGCTGGGTGGATGCTCCCACGAACCCCCTACAGCCGACTTCCACCGGGTAGCTGACAGCTGACCACCCCGCCTCTCTGCATTCGGCTGTGAGGTTGAGGTACCGATCTTTCTTCCTCTCAAAGGCTGCCTCCATTCCTCCCTCCCACGGGACAGTGAGCTCTGCCAAAATCACTGCCCGGGTTGTGGCAGACCAGAGAATGATATCTGGTCGAAGGTTGGTTATGGTGATCTCTGTTGGAAACCTGAGCTGCCGATCGAGGTCCACTCTCAGGTTCCACTCACAACTGCCTGCCAGGGCTGATCTCTGTGGTTGCGTGATTTTGGTGGCCCCTCCTCCCTCTCTGACAAAGTGGATCGGCAACTCTTGGGAGAGTAACGGTATGGTAACGGATATGGCAATGTTAATGTATTTGGTCCTGGTGGAATAGATCTACTATGCTGCTGCTGCTGCTGCTGTAGAGCAAGTACCGAGACTTGCTACTGCCAAACCATTCGCAGAGATTGCTGTGAGCATGTAAGAAATGCTGCTGCTGCTGCTGCTGCACATGTAACATACATGAATTAACCCCCGTAGCAGATCTATACAAGTGGAGCTAGGGAAGATGTAGGGTTTTGAAAAGTGCACAAATACCAGCAACACCCCAGTATTTATTTGAATGTTGAGCCGCAGCTCATTAGACGCTGATGCAACAACAACCAATCAGCTGTGCCATGTAGAGGGAAATTCTTTTGAAAACATTCAAGACATTCCAATTTGACATCATGTGGCATATGGCAAAATAAATTATATTCCATACTCATGAATTGAAAGAGAGACTATTCTTAAATTATTGTTGCTCATTCCGGGTTCCCATCATATACGGTATCTTGCAAAACTTCAAAAGATGGTAAATGGTAAATGGACTGCATTTATATAGCGCTTTCACAGACCCAATGGCCACCAAAGCGCTTTACATTTGCCTCACATTCACCCATTCACTCACTCATTCATACAGTTTGCGCAAACAGAATGAGAGATGGGGATATCTTATTTTTGCATTTGCCTCAGAGGCGAAAAGCTAAAAAATAAGATGCTGAAGATTGTACTCCAACATGACAAAATAATGGCTTTGTGGTTGTGTTTCTCATCTTGGTGACTCTCTTCAAATCTGAGGAAATGGCCTAGCATTCGCACTTAAGAGATGCAGATGAGACACTGAGATTCTGACTCACCTCTTTCCGTTGCTGGTATATATCTCACTATTTCACGCTAGCAGTTTCTACCAGTGTCAATAATAAGGATGCAAACACACGAAAGATCAGTAATTTAGCAACGATTGAAGTACTATCACGCAGCAAACAATATGCAATTTTCTAATAAAACACATTGTTGCATTTGGTTTAACAGGGGAAGAACCGGAGCCATTATCCATTGTACATTTTGATAATTAAATTAAGTGAGGCTTGCAAATTATTTCGCCAGGCTGACATGCATACAAATCAGCTTGTCATATTGTTTTAGAAATACAAGACCATGTCAAACTCGAATAGAGCAATAGGGAACAACATTTGAATTGTTTATTATCACAAGACTATCTACTGGTTTTGCTGGTAGGGGACAGAAAAAAGTATGCAAGGAATTTAAACTACTTCATATATGTAGATATAGTGTACTTGTGTGTGTGTGTGTGTGTGTGTGTGTGTGTGTGTGTGTGTGTGTGTGTGTGTGTGTGTGTGTGTGTGTGTGTGTGTGTGGTTTCCATGGTTACTCCCTCCTGAGAGTTGCTGTTCTTGCTAAGTTAAGGATGACAACCCAGTGTATGTGTTCCCATGGTTACTCACTCCAGATTGTGGTTCTTCTTTGCACGGTTATACAGAGAAAGGGTTTTTCCATGTGCGCATTCATGCATGTGCATGCGTGTCTGCATATTTACAAATGCAATCTCATGAGCTCATATTCAACAGTCGTTTTGCGCCAAAAGTACAATACATTTCAATGGATTAACTCTTGAACTGTAAATGTGCAGGTGCATTGTTCTCCTCACTCACTCTGTACCGTAGCAGTCCTGGTGCAGTTGTAGAGGATGGCGAGCTCTCCGAACACTTTCCCCGGTCCCATGGTGCAGAGTTTCATCCCCTCCTTGGTCACCTCCACCTTGCCATCTGAAAGCAATCAGAAGGCAAATCCTTAAGTCCATTGATGATGCTCTGTTCATGAAAGTAAGCATGACAGTCTGGAAATGCATCCGTGCCAGTCGCCTGGATTGGACCGAGCCTGGCCTAATACATTCCAATAACAGTCTCATTTCATTAGGCCAGCAGACATGAGCAGAAGTTTCGAGGAGAGTGGGGGAGGTGAAATGACTGGGAAAGGTACGAGCTCTCTAATGTAATGGGCACTGGGAGAAATAGGCCAGTGAAAAGTGGAAAAAAATAAAGGAGTGGAGGATTAGCTAAATATGATGCCTAAACTATTAGATGAGATGCAGTGAAACCATACTGAGAGGGCCTGGGACTGTTATTTCAGGATTAATGTGTAAGACACACGTAACTCCTCTGCATTAACTCATGGGAAATTCAACAACAGGCTTGGCTGAAGAGCTCATCTGTCACCTCATGCAGTTTTCGTATTATACCAAAGCTTCCGAGGGCCCTACTTAGAATAAAGTAGGTCTGAGAAAACGCTTCCGGCTAAATGCTGGCAAAAGTAAGGTAGCAAGTAAAAGCAAAGATGTTTATGCCGATATTTACAATCTGATGTTATTCACATAAAAGGCATGCTGGGGGTGATGAAGGTTTTGTTGTTTTGACAGTGTTGCGGTCGGAAGAGTGTCATTAGAGATACACCGGTCGGCTGGCCATAAATCAGAACCGGATGGTTTTTGCTCCATTCCAGACTTGAAGACAAGCTTTATTGCAATCATTTCCCAAAATGTCATTTGTGCGGAAATATTATGGAATCTCTAAACAGGACGTTAACACAGGCCAGAGACGGTACCAACCAAAAAAAGACGCAAAGAAGAGAACAGAGCCACGCCAGCAGAGCAAAGGCACCAGTGTTGGGGGTAACTTGAGTTATGTAATCAGATTACTTTTTCAAGTAGCTAGTAAAGTGCGCATTTCTTTTAAAATTGACAACAAAATATCTGAGTTACTTTTTCAAATAAGTAACGCAAGTTACTTTGTTTTCGCACTTGTTGACTGACAGCTCTCTTGTCCCCATGTTGAGACAAATCGAAGTGCAGAGGCGTTGTGTGTAAACATGACGGTTATTGAGAGAGAGAGAGACATCTTTATTCACATACATACTAATGCCAAGAACAAAGAAGATGATCAAGTATGTGAACTGGTCCCCAAAGAAGCTCTAAAGCTTATACTCGGGGGCCATAACAATCAAAGTAAAAAAAGTAAAAAGCAAACAAAAAAAAAAAAAAAAAAAAAAAAAAAAAACGATCGCAGATGTGTGACCATACATAGAAAATATTTCATACAACATTCGTACAACAAATAATAGGGGATCCCATTTCACAAGTACAGTTTTTCTTCACAGTGTACCATGAGATTATAAAATTAATACTGACATACATACAAAGTAAGAGATAATACATACTTCAAGAAAATTAATACAGACTCAATAATTGTTTCTTGAGCTTTTGTTTAAAATAAAGAAAAGAACTTGAATTTTTTAAGTTTTCATCCAGGTCGTTCCAAATCCGCGGTCCCCGGCACACCACACTCATACCAGTGCTTTTTAATCTCCGTTTTTTTCCAATAATAATGTGCTTATTTCTAGTGAGGAAAGTGTGCCGGGGATAGCGAATAGGAACAAGTTCACACAGCCTACCATTTAGTCCATTGACCACCTGGTACATAGTACATGCATTATGAAATTTATTGTGTTCACTTAGTCTTAAAATACCATACCTAAGAAACATAGAGCAAGTTGGAGCATTAAAATCAGCCCAAGAAATGGCACGAATAATTTTTTTTTGCAAAATTTCTAACTTTCTTAGGTAAGTACAGTAAGTGTTGCACCATATGATATTGCAGTAGTTTAAATGAGGTTCAAAGAGGGTTTTATAAAGAGTGATTAATGTTGCACGAGGAAACAGATATCTAAGCTTAAAGAACAGACCAACATACTTTGATAGCTTTTTAATAAGGTATTCAATATGGTGTTTAAAGTTTAGGTGATCATCTATAAAGACACCCAAGAATTTAGTCGTCTTTACTCTCTGTAGTTCCTCTCCCTCTATTTTAATCTGTAGATTTAAATCATCAAGTTTAAGTTGTTTTTTATTTGAACAAAATATTATGTAGTTAGTTTTACTAGTATTTATAGACAATTTATTTACTTTAAACCAACTGTCAACATTTTGAAGCTCTTTGTTAAGTAGTTGTTGAAGTTCAAGTTCATTTTATTGTAGTTCTAGACTAATGTGAGCTTGCCTTTACTCATCTTACTTGCACAAAAAAAGATTAAATATCCGTCAAAATGAATAGAATCAGAATATTATGTTAAATAAAACATAAATTTGTATGCATTTAATCTCACTTTATTGACCAATGTACTTGTTTCTGACCTTCGATAATTCAGTTAAAATTAAGCAAAAACGAAAATTGTATTGGTCAAGTAAGTGTTAAACTTTTTTTCCTGCATCGTATTCTTCCGTTATCCAGAATGGCAGCAAAGCTGAAAGGTTTGTTTGAGCTGCACCCTCTAACTGTACAAGCGAGGTGAGGTGAAAAAAAAAGCCCAGGTGAAAAAAAGTAACGCAAAAGTAACGTAACACATTACTTTTTCTAAAAAAAGTAACTAAGGAATGAAGGAATGACTTTTTAAGGGAGTGACACAATATTGTAATGCATTACTTTTCAAAGTAACTTTCCCAAACACTGAAAGGCACCAGGCACAGCAAACTCGCAGTTCGCGATGCTCGAAATATAGTAGGGATGTCCCGATCCGATCACTCGATCGGAAATCGGGCCCGATCACGTGGTTTCAGACTCGATCGGAATCGGACGTTACCTCCCGATCAGGACTCGGATATATGTAAATTAGGGGTGTAACGCGGTACATGTATTCGTAATTATTGAACCGTTTCAGTACGAGGGTTCCGGTTCGGTACGCATACAAACCGAACGATTCCTAGGACCATTTTTCCTGCAGACAAAATCTGCGCTGGCGCGACCACCACAACGTTGCGCAACATCAAATGGCAAACGTAATGAAAGCGGAATGAAACTGCGCTTCTCATTATATTGTGCTTAACGGACCATTTATCAGTTCGGACCAGCAACATCTGTGCAGCGCGAGATCAAGCGACACTGTGCTAAGAGATCCAGTGAAGAAAACTTTTGAATTCGCCACTGAAGAAATAACATTGCTGCGAGATCTAGTGAGAAGCATTCAAATTTCTCCGTTATTAACCGTAGATCTCTGTTAGATCAAACAGCGCTGACGTGGAAACCTGGAGAAACATTGTGCCGTGAATGAATTTAATGTGCCGTGAATGAATTTAATGTTGCACTTCAAAACTCAAATATTATATATAATTTAAATGTTATTTTTAATGTGATTACCAAAACATTATTTGTTCATCCTTCAAAGATTACCCCCATTTATAAACCTGAAAGTTTCAAGATGTAGGAAAACTCAAACTTATTTAAAAATAGTTTTTCTTTTAGTAAATAGGAAATTTCTCTGGCATTTCTTTCTTTTTGCTGTATCGTATCGAACCGCAAATTTTGTGAACTGTTACACCCCTAATGTATATATATTCTCATTATTTTTTTTATACACTTTTAAAACATTTTTATTTTTTGTTTACATGCCTGCCGGGTATTTTAAGTTGAGGTGCTATTTGTTTTTATATTAGACTTTTTTTTACTGTTGCACTAAAGTCCAAAAGTGAAGATTTTATGTTATTTATTACTTGATTGTTCAAGCTACCTCACAGAAGTGCTCTGTTTGTTAACAGAGTTGTTGAATGTTAAAATAAGGTGAATTAAATAAAAAATATGGATCCTGGATCTGTTTTATTCTTTTTTTATGTATTATATAAGTATCGGATCGGGACTCGGTATCGGTAGATACTCAAAATCAAATGACTCGGACTCGAGGGCAAAAAAAACCTGATCGGGACATCCCTAAAATATAGGAAGAAAAATTGGAGGTGGGGATTTATATGAATGTACCGTTTTGTTCCGAATTCAAGATTATGTTATTTTCTTGGAAATGCATCTGAAAAAATGGGGTCGTCTTATATTCGACGTCGAAACTTTTGCATGTCAATAATACACCCGCACCAATAGGTTGTGCCAAATACTGAGACAAAAATTTAGTTTCCCCCAGGACTGATAAACGCAGCGGAGTCAAACTACTCTCATTAAGCAGTAAAGAAAGACGCTGTGTCAGAGTGTAATGTTAGAAGATGACGAGCCCAAAAAGACAGTCTTAAAAATGCTAACAGTCAAAGAAAAGCTTACCGCGTTTCTAAAAGCGTCCGCTTTGGCGAAACTGACAGGCAAGTGTGTCTGAAGGCCATGTAGTTGTCATCCAGCTGAAGGCACTGGAAATCGCCAAAGAGCTGAATTACCTACCAGCGAGGCCCATCATTTCTCATTTCGGTACTGATGCACTTGCCTGTCAATATCCTCGAAGCGGCCGTTTTGAAGCAGTGTAATGGATTAGCATTTGCCCCCCCCCCCCGACTTCAGGGAGAAACTGCTGTCTTTTCAGCGCTATGTGATCGGCCAAGGGAAAAAACATGCATATCTCCTGGATCAGACAGGTAATGCGGATCAAACACCGTGTTTTTTTGACATGCCAGCACTTGTCACTGTACATAATAAAATTGTGTGATTGTTGTTGGTACATTTTACCAGTATTTATTTACCATTCTTTGAATACAAAAATGTAAAATTATTTTAAAATAAAGTATTTTCTTTTAACCCCTTAAGTGTCACGGGCCCACCGGTGGGCCCAAATCCTTTACATTTTTAAAACAGTAATATCCCATACTAAACCTAAACTAATCTTGACAAACTATATATCATTTGAAAGCTTACAATCTCTAGTTTCCATATTTGGTGATATATTTTTAAAATAAATTACAGAGGAGCCGTAATTTATCAATTTGCAACAATAATATTTTCATACT